CACGAACACCGTCAGTCAGCTAACCGTGTCTGTTTCCCAATGGCAGTAGGTCGGTCCGTGTTTGTTTTTTTTTTTTTTTTTTTTTTTTTTCCTTTTTCTCCCTACGCCTACATTCTCCATGCTTTTACAGCCGTACTTTTCTTTTCGACCATGTCTCAAATCTCTCGCTTGTCTTGGCCCCTCTTGCAATTCCCTTGGAAGAGATGAATTCAAAACAAAACCAAGGGCAAGACAGCGCCCATTGCAAGTGTGCACTACTCCGTTTTCGTACACATACTCAGTAACATGTCGTACTACACACTACATTGACGGGCGCGGATCTCTGGATTCTTGGTGGCCGCATCGGGTTCGTTTGTCTGTCTCTCCGACCCCACAGATGATGGTTCAATGATGGCAGTCCTGTCGTTCAGCCGTTTCTGTTGTTCTGTCTGTCGTCCTCTCTTCGTTTTTTATTTTCATTCCTGTTCCCTTTATTTCCTGTTTCTTTTCTTTTACGTACAGCAATAGGCTGAATCATCTCAAATCACCATTGACTTTCTCCCTTTGCCGTTTCATTGTTTTATAAGCCGGCCTTTTTCGCGTCAAATCTTCATTTCACTCCCTTGCGAAGTACAACATAAAGCTCACTTGATGTGAGTTGTTGGCGTTCCCGACGACGGCGATTCTCCGTATCGAGTAAAGCGCGCTAGGATCCCATCCCAAAGGTCGCTCCTTCCCTCCCGTGAAAGCCCATTCGCCCATTTGCCCATAACTGCCCCATTTGGCAAAGGATAGTTTGGGTGTGGAAGGAGTGCACATAATTCCGCTCCTTGGATAGTATGTACGCCATACATACGCTAAGTTCTGGGTGCTCTCCGTCGTTCCTCTGGCTGTTAGCGGGTGATGCTCGTCCCGATGGCAAGGATGCGCTGTAGGTGGGTCCCCCGGCTGCCAGCATCACTGTTTCTGTTTCCCTTAGGGACACCCCTCGCGCCGTTTCTCGTGATCACTTGTGACTTGTGTAAATGCATAAGGCAGCCGCGAAGCCCCGAATTATGCATACACTGCATATCGTGACGTCCAACCCGCCGTACATTGTTCTTTTTTTTTTTTTTTTTTTTTTTTTTTTTTTTTTTTTTTTTTTGGTTCTCACTCGAATTCTCTGCACTGCTGCTCTTGTTGCCGTGGCCATCAACTCGTCCACTCCCACCCGGTTCCCAATCTGTTCTCGACTTTCTGGTTTTGTTTTCCCGCTGTTTTGGTTTTGACGTTTTTCATCTTCTTTCTCCCGCCCCTGCGTTGCTCCCGTTCACCTCGCATCTCTCCTATATTCAGACTCTTCAACTCCAAAAGTTCATGACCACACCACCTCTCTCACACACACCCCGGTTGATTCCCGCTAGACAAGGGTGTTTCGAACGGCCGGTGCTTGCTGCCCCACACTGTTCGCCGACCTCGCGAACGGACGCAATAAACCTCGAAAAAGAGTGTGGGAGACGCGAGAAAAGCTGAAAGGTGGAGTGGAGTCCCCAAGGGTTCAGGACAAGGACGGCCGAAAAGGACAAGGATGGCCTTGAAGAGTTTCTCGGCGTGGGCTGTTCGACAGGGGTTCGATCTGTGCTGATGTGCTCAGCCGTTTCACGCCCTCCCCCCCTCCCCTTCTCTTCCATCCCCCCAAACCCCCTGTCGCTCGTTTTGCCTCTTGTTTAGCCTTCTTTTCGTTTCTTGGGAACCAGTGAGAGCAGAGGACCGTATGCAGCAATCGGGGTCGCAATCTGCGGAGGAAGGCTGAGGGGTGAAAAGACAAGTATTGAAGCACCTCAGTGCGATTCACCGCCAGCTTTGGGGCACCAAAACAAAGAAACAACCGAAACGAAACGTGAACAACAGAAAGCCGACGAGCATTGCACAACAGGCTGGACGCGGGCTATCCATTTCTTCGGGACTGGACGCTCGGGACCTCTGACGTGGGGCAGTCGGTGTGCGAATAAAGTATACGACGGTCAGCGTCCACAGTCGCACAACATGATCACACAACAGCACCAAACAGCACGGGTTACTCCCGGCTTGCTTTGAGGTCGTGCAGGGCGCCGACCATTTGGCTGTGTGTCTTTGTATTGTCCCACCTTTGTTTCTCTCTTTCTACGTTGCCCGACGTGGCACCGCATATCGGGGCCGCGAAGTGTCTTTCCTCGTCCTCTTTTCCCTTGCTTGTGTGTGCATCTTGCATGGTCTATGGCCTGTGCTCTGTGGTGGGCGTTTTCCATTGTACAAAGTATTTATGGGGAGCACAGAGCAGGTGGTTGATTGTCGTTGTTTTGAGCCATGGAATGTTGGCCGACTTGGAGAGGCTGTTTCTAGACAGGCTGTCCTTGTCTCTTTGACAATCGTCCAGGACACGTACTCACAGTATTGTCAGTAGTATATGTAAATGGAGTACATGTACATGTACAACAAGGCCTTGGAAGACAAAGCACAACGGCACATCCACACGGTGAACGGAAGATTCCGTTGATGCCCTGTTGAGGTGCAGGCAAAAAGGCAAAAAGGCAAAAGGCGTCGTCTGGTGTATGTTCGACGAACACTGCGGCGCAATCACGCTGTCCAGACAACTCCTTGCATCCGGCTCGTACCCAGAGCCAATGCCTTGCTCGGCTGTCTTGCAGTTGACTGTTTCTACCTCGGCTTTGCCAGTGCCTTGTTTGTTCTCTTGGCTGTACAGAATAGCTCGCACACCCTTGTAGTTTTCAACACGTCCAAATCCAAAACATCTCCTTCATCTATTCTCGCCACTCGGTCTGTCTCTGGCCTCAATTGACGTATCCCGTGGCCATGGCAACTGGCCCTGTCCTGTCGCTATAGGACGTAGGACAAGGAATGTAGGACACGGGAGACCGTGTGATTTGTGTGACGGCGGGAAGAGAAAGCGAAACCATACGGACCGCTGGGACGAGTATGCACGACGCACGCCGTATGAACAGACGTCAATTGCCGTGGTGGCCGTACGGCGCCCATGTTTTGTACCCGTCCACATCTACCGTAAGGCCATCACGATCCTACCCGTGGGCAACACCCGAGATCGAGAACACGACGTATGTGCGCCAATTGCCGACATGGCGGGGGCCGAAGCAGCACGTACGAAGTACATTGTATTGGTTTGGTGGATTCCAGACTGTTAGACTTGCTTTGTGTGATTGGCACCGTTTGGATCAAGGATCGTCTCTTCAATTTTGTTTCTCCGGAACCACTTACTGTTTTGTGGACTGGCGCGATCGGTTTCCCTCTTTGTAAGGCGGCCAATTCCCATTTTCCGTTTTCCGTATCGTCGTTTTCTTCTTTTTCTTCTTCTTGTGTTCCAGGAAACACAATGGAAAAGAACCGCCGAGCAAAGCCAGCTGAAGACAGGGAAGGGGGATTCTTGGGGACTGGGCCTACGAGACCAAAAACGACGGTGATCTTTGGGGCGATCCGCTACTTCTATGTACACCTGCAAACCACTTTGCTTGCTTGCCTTCTCGTTGAAATGTCATCCGTCAACATTCAAACGGCGGATCGACAAAGTGGACAAAACCGTACTGGGTGCCGTTTGATTTACATTCCACGTACATCGTACATACCGTGTATCGTTTTCAGTCTACATGTACACCCGCTGACCCGTTACGATCTTGTGATCTTCAGAGACATTTACTACTTAGTTCCTCCGTATGCCAACTTTATTTCAGAGGCCCTCTCAGCGCCGGGGATTCCGAAAAGAGAAACAAAAGGTAGATCGTGTCCTGATGATCGACGACATCGTTGCTAGACAAGTCTCAGTCCGCATTTTCCTTTGCTGGTAGGACGAATGCAGACAGACTACTGAGCAGACTGAATGCAGTACACCACAGCCTCAAACCCACACAAACCCCAGCGGCAAAGCAACGCTGTTGAGTACTGCGACGTACTACTGCACGACAGTCAACGGCGCTTGTCGACGGAGAAGAATGCCGTCACATTTCTCCTGCCTACGACATTTGCCCCCGATAAGCGAGATGACCTGACCTGCGATCGTGAGACAGCAGCCGCAAAAAGGGGGGGGGAAAGGGGAAGAGAAAAGAGGACAAGAGGTAAAGGCGAGAGGAGGCGGATGAACGAGAGGGAGAGGACTGTCGATATCAATAGCTAGACTCCTCTTCTTCGGCGAAAGGCTGGACTGGCTTATTCGACACTGCGACGCATGCGAACAGGGTCCAGAACGGGGCAAAACGGCATACACCGAAGTGCACCTGCACATCATAACTTTGTCATCCAAGACAAACCAGTCCTTTTGACTTTTCCGGGAACACAACTATGATGGTCCAAGAGCCGAGCCCCATCCCATCTCCCTTTCAGAAGTCGTGAACCAACACCCTCCCGGCGTGTTCGAAGTATCAAGGGCGAATTCGTTGTTCTGAGAAAGCCGTTCTTCTTTTTTACAAACGACGAGGTCAGTGGTAGATATTGTCACGCTGCCCGTTGGCTCCAGCTCCAGGGGCTGCCGAAGGCGAGACAGAACAATAATGTCTCCTGATCTCTTGATCTGAACTTCATGGCCTCGTACTAACTAATAAAAGAAGTATTGGGCGCGAACGATGTTAACGATGCTGGCCTGCCTCGGGGCTGTGAATGGGCCAAACGGGTGAAACGCGACGAAAGCACAAACATGTTGCTCACTAAGTAGGGATGCCTAGGTCGGGGATGCTCTGTTGGTTTTGCGGAGGAAAGCCGGGAAACAGCCGGGCCTAACGAAGCTTTGCTGGCTTCATACCCATCTAAGCTGACTTTTGCCTTCGGCCGGTGCTATCCGTGCTCCCAACGGTCACCAAGCGCCCGGATGGCGGCCTTCCGAACTTCTTGCAGTCTTCGATAATATGGGCACATGGCCAAATAATTCTCCATGGGCATTCATTCGAGGCAAAGCTAAAATGCAACTGCGGAGAAGAAGACGTTGTTTCCCCGTTCGTGCCACGGCCTGTCTGTTGGTACTTAAGTCATGGAAATGCGAGCTAGAAAGAACTTGCTCGCTCAACTCGCTGTTGCACAAATCTACCGCCAGAATCAAACGCGCCATTGTCGGTTGTAACAATAGCCTCAGTGAAGCTGGTAGAGTCTCCTGCTACCAATTGTGTCGTGAGTTCAATTCCCTGGGCGTTCGTAATGTGCTGCTGAAGGCCCTGTCCAGCAGCGGCGTGCTCTGGTGGCTCTGCGTGCCCTGCCTGTCCTCTTGATCCTGCCTGCTCGGATTGGTCCTGAAATGCTGGTCCTTCGTTGCCTCCGTTTTGAGCTTCATCCTCACCGTTCGCACTGTGTGACAGAGACCGAGCCTTGTTGTACTCATACATGACCAGGTCCTCGTCCGAGCTTGAGGTCGAGGACGACGAGCCGCTCGACACTGGGAGCGCATTGGAGGTTGCCGCAGCATATGCTTCGACCCGTTGCTCGCTTGCGGAGGTTGCTCGTTCGGTGGGCACAGCGCCATCTCCTGTTCTGTTCGGCTTCGTAGCCACCCTTATCTTCTTCTTCTTCTTGCTTGTCTCGTGGCTACTTCCATCCGCTGTTCTCTGCCCTGACTCGTTCCGGCCGTATTTCTTTGTGATCGTGTCGATTGCTTTTTGGTTGACTCCCGGTAGATCATTCTGCGCAACCAGCATGCCTCCTGCGCCTGGCCTATGCCGGCGAGACTGTCGGCTGCAATGACTGAGCCGTTCTTTCGCCACGGCACGTAAAACCTCGTCACTTATGAGTTTATCGTGGTCTTTGTCGATGAGTGCCGGAAGTGACCGACCCTTGCCTGTTGTTACGCCGCTGGTTAGAATAAAAGAGCGAAGCTCACAGACGCAGTGATGTGAAATACGCACCAAATACATCAATCTTTTCCACTAGAGACGGAGACAAAGTCAAGGGTTTTGCTCTGCACGACGAGACCGCAATTGATTTTTTGACACGGTCATGAAAAGAGGCTGATATCGAGTCATCCGTAGCCGGGACATCGAGCGTACTTTGCTCGGCCCCATGCGATGTATCGCGTCTTCCGTCCGCGCCTCGTGCTTGTTTCGCCACACCTGCCGCTGCGAGGGAGTATCGTAGGCGTCGTATCTCAGCTGTAAAACGCTCTTCACGAGCGGCCCACTCCTTGCTGAGATCTGCGAACTGGTCCAGATCCCGCTCGTGAGCCTCGCGGGCTTCATCCAGTCGAGTTTTGGTCATGTCTAGGGTGTATTGCATATCTTGAAAGCCTTCAATGGCCTGTGTAATGTGGCTCCGGTAGCGTCCCGGGATTGGGTGGTCTAGGTTGACCACTTTCGGGGAAGGAAGAGGAGGCAAATCTGGCCGTCGTTTGGATGAAGGAGCGGTTGAAAGTGCCTGAGCTGATTGCCAATCCATCTTTGGGATTGTGGGCACAGTCTCGCCTGACATGGCGGCCAGGTGCAGAGACTCAATAATCTGCTTAAACGAGGGCCGATGCCAGGTGAGATCGGACTCGTTTACGAGACGAGAGAGCTTGGCATCGGCCTCACGATCCCATTGTTTCCAGTCATGCTGCTTGGCTGTGTGGGCTGCTCTTGGAGGCGCTTTTGGACTGGACTCTGCCGCTGGTGCGTTGTGTTGGCCGCCAGCCTCGGTGGCCCGATCTCGGTCGGGTTCATGACCATCGCTCTTATTGCTGGCTGCTCTTGAGCTGACGCGTCTGCCAAGGACACCAAACTCAAACCATGGCTTCCCCGACGGTGCTGTTTCACGGGGACTCTGTGGATTCGGCGTCCACGATTGATCATCTCCATCCTCTCGTTTCCTTGCCTGTGATGCAGAAGTACCGCTTGTGCTTGAGCCAAAGCTGCTGTTGCTTCGCAGATTGAGGAAACTGGACGCCCTGAAGAGTGCACGGGGCCGGCTGGCTCGTTGGGCACCGATGGCCTCCGTAGCGATGGGCGATCTCGGCGACAGCGGGGCCTGTCTGTTGCTTACAAACGCCCGGGCCATGGCTTGTACGGTCGCTTGCTGTGCGTCTCCTATGTAGGGCTGCTCCGTTCCATCATAAATGGGCGAGGTCGGTGGGCGGGAGAGCAGCGACGGAAGGAGAGCCGATCGCTCACCTGGATGGCCGCCGAACGAGTGCAAGTGTCCCCCCGGTTCTGCCGCCCGCCTCGTCACAAAGGACCGTCTCTCTAGTCGTGTTTCCTGCGTAGACGATGATACTTCTGATGGACTGTCTTTCCCGGGTGCTGTGTTCTCGTTAGCGTTGGCACGCGATCCTCCGAAGCTTAAACGACGTCCTAGATCCGACATCATGAAGGCAGATGGGCTGATCGAGTTTGCTTGTAAAATTTTAAATGTTTATTCGGTCGTGAGTGCAGCTGTTTGAAAACCATGGAGAATCGCGATACCACACCAAAAGGATGAAACACGATACTGGTTACGAAAATGAAAGCTGCAAGGTCAACAACAAATGCGGCGGACAATAGACAAGATAGGAAATCGCGATGGTTGCGCCTTCCCTTTTCATCATCAACGTGTCTACAGCAACGGAATGTGGTCGGGAAGGAGCTACCATGAAATCTGTTTGGCAGCTCCTGCGTTACAAAAGAGTGCACAATAATATTGTCAAAGTACGTCAATAATAAGACATCAGATACCTGTTCATTGTCGAGAGTTGTCCTGTTGTTTTGAACGTTACGTTGAAAATACAATCGCTGTTTTTTATTATTCTGTTTGTTGTCCTCCTTTTGCCCAAAAAGAACCCGACCCGAATATCCCTACACAACGCCTCACCCACTGCTGTCTTTTTTTGTCGCAGAAAAATCAACAACGATAGAAGCCATTAGCAAAATAATGGCCACATAGGCTTCAATGGAACATGTCCTCGGCCCTCTGCCGTGGCCGCTGGATACGGCTGGCCAGACTGTTGTCAAAGACCTCCTTGCCAGAATTGCGCCCCCGACCACCACCGCCGTTGCCGTTGCCGTTGCCGCTGCTCAATTTGTTTGGAAACAGCTCGCGAGCCGAGGCGACACCTTTGATACTGATGCCCTGCTGGTTGTTGCTGCCTGCGAGACCACGGATGTTGAACGTGCTGCTGGACGACGCGTCGGAGGGCCGCGTGATGCGATCTGTGAAAGGGTTAGCCGGATTTTCAGACTACTTTCTCACACGGGGGGTGCAGACACTGGTGCTGCTACCCTTGTCGGCCTCGTTTGGCCTTGTGGAATGCAGAACTACCAGGGCAGCAATACTGTCGCTGTCACGGTCGCCGTCACTGTCGCCATTGCGCCGACTTCTTTCGTCGCCATGGCATGCACCATCAGAAGAGAATACCGACATACCGCTGAGCCGATTCGTCACTGCGCTTGTGTCGTCAAACCGGTCCATATGCGCTGAGCTGCGTGATTCGCCCGGAAACAGCTCGCGCGAGCTGTTGCCGCTGCCGTTGCCGTTGCTGTTGTCGCCTTTGGATGTTGACAGGCGGTCCTTGATCGAGCGTGCCTTGTCGCGGTTGCGTGCAGCGGCCGCCGAGTCTGCCTCGGCCCGCTCGTCGGCTAACCGGCCATCGTAGTCGTCGTCGTCCGCGTCGGCCTCGTCGTAATAAAATCCGCCGCCGTCGTCCCGCCGTGGCGATGCCGACCGGTCGCGCAGCCGGCCCCGCTCCCGCCCCCGCTCCCGCCCACGACCGCGATCTCTACCACGGTCATCCGACCCCACACCCAGCTTCTCCGGGAAGAGCTCCTTGCCGCGGGCGTTACCGCCCACTGGGAACAATTCCTTGTCCCTGTTGTTGCTGCGACGCGACCGAGACCGAGAGTGCGACCACGACCGCGGCGTCCTCCGTCGCGTGCGCGAGTCGTAGGACCGTGACCGCCGGCGGGCACGACGAGAGGGTTCGTCGTCATCGTACAGGTTCACATCAAAGGAGTTGTTGCGGATGTCGTTTTCGCGGTCGTCCTGGCGGTCGTCGCGGTAGGAGCGGTGCGACCGGTCGGAGCGGCCGCCGTCGCGTCGCCGGTTGTATTGCTGGTTCCGCCGGCGCTCTTCGGGGTCGTATTCGGGATGCAGGAGGTAGAAGCGGCTGCGCAGCGCGGCGCCGCTCTGCTTCTTGTCCGAGGCGAGCGCGAAGCGGACCGACAGGCCGCCCGAAACGTCGTCGGGCTTTGCAGAGTAGGTCTTGGCCGGCAGCAGCTCGCCCAGCGGCAGCTGGCTCACGTCGTCAATCTGGACACCGGAGAGGGCGGCGAGGGCCGTGGCCGCGGCAGCCTCCGAGGAAAACAAGAGGTTGGCAGACGTATCGTCGATCCACTCGATGCGCTCAAAAGGGCCCTTGCTACCGCCATTGCCGGTGTAGTGTTCGGCGACGTAGGCCTTGATGTCGTCGGGATTCAGGGCGTCCAGTCCGCGGATGTGGACTTTTGTGGGGATGAGTGTTGTGGCGTCGGCTGCTGCTGCTGCTGCGTCGGCGGCCGTTGTCGCAGAGGCTTCGTTGATCTCGCCAGGCTCCTGGTTGTGTGCGTCGTCCGCGTCGATTGCGAGGATGTCTTCCTGCGGTAGGACTTCCGGTGGCGCATCATTCTGGAACTGCCCCGCGGCATCTTCCATTTCAATGTCCAAGTCGTCCATGGCGAAAAGTTTGTGTGTGATACCCAGCCGTGTCGGCGCGGAGAGGTTGGAAGGGAGAAAGGGTGAAAGAATGGAAGGATGGAAGGATGCAAGGGAGGTCAGTTGCGCACGACTCCGGGGAAGAATACTGTGACGAGTGCGACCAAAGGTTAGCTGGCGCTGAGAAGAGACTGGCAAGACAGCAAGCAGAAATGTGCACAGGGCGTGATCGGGGGGGGGAGCTGACGCTCCCCATGCGCGCTTGTCGGATACTCACCGGTAAGCGATGTCGAAGGTGCAAGAAGGGAGAGCGAAACAGACGACTCAATTCGGCTGGGGGGGAGCGTGTCGATGGCCGCAATGTCTGTCGCGATGCCCGTCGCGAAAAGCTACGCAATATGAGAAGGCGAAAGAAACAAGGCGGAAAACAGCTGTAGTGTCATGAAGGGAGTTGCAAGGCTGTGGCGCGCGGGGCCGGTCTTTTGCCTGGTGTTTGTGTTCTGCTTGGATGCCTTTTTCTAGCTGCTCTTGTCGTTTGTGCCAATGGGAGCTGCGTATAAAAAAGCGGGTCTACGGTGATCCGCATCGCATCAACAGCGTTTGCGGGACGACATCGCAATACTTTCGGTCAATGAAACAGGTCACATGCAACCCTCGTAGGCTGCTCTAAAAGACGTCCGCAGTAGCAATGACACTCGTATCGTGTTGCTTGTAAACATGTTCGTACTGCCGAGTGTGCATTGTTCTCATTCACTTGAATTAATGCCCGAGCGAAGAAAACGGTATAGGAGAAAACAGTAAATGTTGCCCAAATGGGGACCCGACAAAGAAAAAGAGAAGTGTGTCCGCTCGGTCTCTTTCTGTTGCCAGAATTTGATTATGCTATGTCGGAGGGTAAACTGGACCGTGGTCACTTTTTGTCTTCCCTAATGAGACGAAACAACCCATAGATAACACCAAGTAAATAAACGCAGAAATATGAAGGGGGGGAAATAGAAAAAAATAAAGAGAAGACCCAAAATCCCAAACACTAAGAGTATCAATAAAAAGAAAAGAGAAAGACATGAATTCGTGGCCGTTTTGCTCCGGGCAATGTTGCAGGAAAGCCTTGTACATGACAATTACGCCTGTGGTCTCTCTATTCCACAGTGGAAAAGAGGCAGTGTGGACAAAGGGAATAGGAAAAGAAAGCAGTACATGATGAGCCTGATCTCCCAGGTCTAAAATCCAAAACGCTCTCAAGAGCCATAAAAAGAAACGCTTTCGTCAATTCCGTTCCAATGAATCGCGCCGCATGAGTGGAGGAGAACTCCGGTTTGCACCAAAAAAGAGATTTCCCATGGTAACAAGTCAAAAAAAGAAAGCATCGCAAAAGCATCGCAAAAGCACCAGTTTTGTCGCTGGAAGGTGGAGCTGAAAGGCAACGTGAACGGCCTCAGAGGTAGATGTCCCCGCGCTCGCCGTTCGCCCACTTGCGCCACGCCTCGGTATAGGCATCTTCGAGGTCTCTCACCCAGCGGCGAGTATCGAAGAGGCCGCACTCCCACTTGTGGTCCCAGAGCATCTTGCGGAGGTCGGCAAGACGACCCTCGCCTTCGCCATAGGTCCCGACACCGTCGGCGCAAGCGACTTGGCGGTAGGCCATGCCGCTGGCCAGTTTGATGGCCATCTTTTCGTACTGGTCGTCGTCCTCGGCAATCAACTCGGCTGCTGCTTGCTGACCAGCGGCATCTTTGGGCAGCGCGCCCTTGAGGACTGATGCGCCAATGCGCGAGCACATTTTGTAATCATAGCGCGGCGAGGTCAAGAGGGGCGTGCTGGACCACAGCGCGTCGGCGGCTGTCGTGTGGGCATTGCACTCCGGCGTGTCAAGGAAGATATCACAGATACGGGCCCGGTTGATGTGTAGTGCCTTTGGCGCAACGTCGGTGAAGATGATGCGGTCTGCGACACTCTTACCTGCCCATTTGAGCGCCGTCTTTCGGATGTTCGGCTCGCCCAGGTCAGGGAACCTGAGCAGCCAAAGGACAGTGTTGGGCACTCCAGCGAGAATGCGCAGCCAGCTGCGGAACGTGGTCGGATCGATCTGGTGACGTATTTGTTAGTACAACCCGTCGTCAATCTGCGTTAGATTCAGGGGTGAAAGGGCAGAAAAGGGTAGAACAGCAGAAAGTTGGAAGACATCGCGTACCTTGTAGAGCTGGTTGAAGTTCCCGAGAATGATCGTATCGTCCGACAGACTGGGGAACATCTCCTTTCGCATCTTCCAGCGCCGCTGCTTCTCGTCTTGCCACGTCACGGTACGCTCGCTAGCATCGGCAAATTGCTTGTGGTCACAACAGAAGAACGTGTCGCGGCAGTAGATAATGTTCTCGGCATAGATCCACTTCTCCGTATCGACGTCGGCCTCGTCACGGAACACATCACCAACGCTAACATTGCCACGCCAGGGCCGCAGTGTGGACGGTGGGACTGCCGTGGTATCGGCAAGGAGGTAGTCGCACCATTCAGCGCCTAGCGTGCCGGCGAAGCCCATAAAGGCCATCTGAATTGGCGCCGGCCGGGCCGCAAAAATCTCGTTCTTGGCACCGCGGGTATATCCGTTCAGATTGACTAGGATGTGGATGCCATCCTGGATGATTTGCTGGATCACGCGCTCTGGGGGCCAGTTGGTCACATCACGGAAGACCGGCGAGTCGCGCTCAATCTTTTCCCGGTAGGGAGACTTGTCGCTCGGCGTAGTTGCGTAACAAAATGCTTTGGCCCGAGTGGGATTATGAAACCCAAAGACGGACTGCATCAAGTGAGCTAGAGGATGGTTATTAAAATCAGACGAGATGTAGCCGACGTTGAGCTGGGGCCGCGGAGGAGCCGGCGGTGGGTAGACTGTGCCGGAGAGCCACGGAGACCGCAGCGTGTTGCATGAGATTCGGAGGGCATTCCGCTGCGAGATAAGGCGAACATCTTTGGCTGGTAGCGGGCAGGTGAAGGTGTGGAAGGGAAGCACGGTCGGAGCGCCCGGCACGGCAAGGCTCGCGGGTGGCCGAGGCCTCGAGTATCCATTGGGTGATTCTTTGCCGCGAATGTAACGGTCGCAGTACCAGCGGTACATGACGACGCGCGTGGCTCGCTCGATTAGACGAAGCACACGAGAGCCCTCCCAGGGCTGGCCGGCCCACTTTTGCAGCTCAGCTGTGACATCAACGGCGTCAACTTTGACCGTTGTGTTTCGGTCCGCTGTGCCCATGGCCTCCTTCATTTGGCAGGCGAGCATGGCGATGGAGCTCTCGTGAAGGACACCGCGACCCCACAAGGAGGCCTCGTTGAGTTGGCGAGCCACAATGTCCACGACGCGTTTCATGAGACCACTGCCGCGGCCATATTGGCGGACATCCTGCAGCATCCCTTCATCGTCGACATGCCAGCGGTCGTAACGGCCACCGTAGAGCACCACACCGCCACGACCGGCCCAATCACAGACCGAATTGAGTGCTGTGGACAGACCACAGACGGCCTCGGTGAACTCTGGGTTGGCTGCGACAGCACGGCGATAGTACGCTATGGCCTCGCCGGAGCGACCTCGGTCCTTCACAGCATTGGCCAAGTTCGTGAGAGCAATATCGAATTTGCCGTCGCATGCCACAGCTTGCTCGTACATCTTGATAGCAAGATCCAACTGCCCGACATCCTTCAACAGGCTGCCCAGGTTCGTGTGGAGATGCACGTGCTTTGGATCGAGCTGCAAGCCGTAGCTGTAGTAAGTGAAGGCCAGCGCTAGACTGCTATCCGGGGGAATGCCGGACGGGACGGCGTTGGTCGTAGTCGGTGTCGTACTGGCAGCAGTCGGTTGGTGTGAGTGTCTGCGCGCAATTTGAACTTGCTGTTGCTGCTGCTGCTGTGGCTGTTGGGGTGCATTCTGTATCTGTTTGATTTGTTTTTGCACATTTGCGGGCTTTGCGGCGGTGGTTTGCTGAATGCTGGCAAGAAGAATGCCGACATTGTTTGCTGTAGAAGGGCTTTCCTGGATGGACATTGACAAATAGTACAGCGACAAGATGTCGCCGACTGCTGTTGACTGACCGTTTGAGCCCTGCGCTAGGCAGCCATTGGTTGCCATGCCGTCCTGTAGAATTTTGGCCATGGACAGTAGGGCATTGCTCGTGGCCGTCAAGGCAGCCTTCTTGTGCTGATACCCCAAAACGTAACGCAATCCGGGCAACTGGCCGTTGGTGTATGGAAATGTTCGCCGAGCCGTGAGTTTGGCCACTTCGGGAGCCAGAAGGGGAGGGCCGGATGATGGTCGGGAGAAGTACGACCGAGGGCTAGATTGAGGTGCTTCGGGCGAGAGGGCGGTGCGAATTCGCTGGATCAGGTTCTGGATACTGCGGAAATGGCGGCCGACGCCGACCAGCACACACTCTTCGTAGGCTTCCGACGCAGCAGCCATCTCCTTCATTAAGTAGAGGCTGTTAGCCTTGGCGTGGAGAAGACCCAGCATACGACCAGTGTCATGGCCAGGGATGGCGTAGCCGCAGGAGCCAAAGCCAGCCTGCGATGTGTCAGGACTCGACGTATCCTTGGACACCATCGGAATGTCTTCAGATGCTGTTTCGGACGAGTCGCCCAGTCGAGCAGCAGACGGTGCCGCGTCAGGAGCGACGTCGTTTCCAAGGTCGGCCCGCTTTGTGGTTCCGCCCCCGGTCGAGGCATTATCGGCCGGGGTAGCAGCGCTGTGGTTTGGAAGACGCAGGGTGTTTTGTACATAGTTGACAATCTCCACGATCTCGCGGTGCCGGTGCTCCGTGGAGAGGATGCCGATGAGATGCTCAGAGGAGTCAAAATAGCTGGGCTTGGAGTGGATAGCACGCAGCCAGTATTTGATGGCCTCGTCGCGACGACCCATGCAGAAGAGGGTCGCGGCAATGTTGGACAACACTTCGACATGGGTCGGCTGCAGAGCGAAGACTCTCTTGAACCACTCAAAAGCTTGCTCGAAGTGCTCCAGAGCATAGTGGAGGCAA